TACTCGATATTAAGAGCAACGGCCACGAAGTCAGCAGAAATTGTGACATCGAAACTTATGGAGGTGTTTGGGGAACATGGTTTTCCCAGGAAAATCCAATCAGACGAAAGAGGCGAGTTTTCGAACAAGATTGTTAAACTAATAACTCAAGAAATTGGAGTGAAGCATGCGAAGTCGCCACCATATCGTCCTCAGGTTCTGGGAGCAGCGGAGAGAAGACACAGAGACATAACACGAAGGAGTTCGCAAGCTATGTGAATCTTTACCAACGGCATGGGATGTCCGACTACCACTTATTATGCTGTGCCAGAACCTCCGAATATCTCGGCGACACAAGACAGCACCATTCAGTGCTTACTTCGGTCGCCGTCATGTTCCGCTTGCTGACTTCACGGATGACCTTCCGGGGAATCAGCCGGTCACCAATGAGGCTTGGGCACACCGGCTGGATTGTTTGCACGGAAATACGCAGACACACTATCCAGGCAGTTTGACCGTCTCCATGCTTACGATTTTATCGCCTTTCAACCAACGGATATGGTAATGGTACGGTCCGAAGGTCGCACAATCAAAGCAATGCGACCAATGTTTGGACCATACGTTGTCAAAGCCAGACAGGGACACGGATATGAACTGACACACAAGGATGGTTCACTTCCAGATACTTTCAAAGGTAAACCAGTTAGAGTGGAACTTTTACTATTAGTCCATAGAGCCACCGAAAAACCTTTAGAAGATCATATGTGGCAGGATAGTTCCTCGTTCCGTACATCATTCGACATAGACAGAATGATTCCACAGGAAATACAGAATACTTGGTTCGCTGGCGGGAAGGTGATCCAACTTGGGAGTCAGCCGAAGCCTTTGACGATCCGAATGATATCGCTGCATACCACAAAGCGGAGCAAACTCGCCAGAAGAAGAACGCGGCGCAACACCAATAATTCCAACGTTACGTTGATGTATACTAGATGTCTACCATCTACTTTCGGATCGTAGTTTGTCTCTCCTCGTGAGATTTCACCACGGTGTAGAGGCGAACGACGATTCCACAACTCGAGCTTATAGGCGAGTATAACTCCAGCGGATACCCTAGCTTATGGCGGGGTAAAAACATACCAGCGGATACCCTAGCTTTTTGGGGGGTAAAAATATATCAGCACAGCCGAGATGTTTCAAAAGACCAGTTTCCAAGGCACCAACTTAATCAGCAGAAGGATTTTCACTAGTTTTTTTATTTTGTTTAATATACACTACTAGATTTTATTTGATTAATTTTCAATAGTTTAAGAGGTCATTTATTTTTGAAGCTCTTCAATCACTGGTGACGCTTGAGCTTGAGGGGAGTGTAGTAAAAGTCCCCTTAAACCACTATCAGTGTGGAGTTGGAATTAGTTTACAAATAATTTACACGAGGTGAATTATTTGTAGACCACGTAGACAATCAAATATAAAAACAAATACACCGCACTGAGCCTCAGGGAGACTCAGTAGGTTTTAGTATCGTATTTTGATGTGTTTACTACATACGCAGACCGTGGCAGAATTATGTTGCCAAGTCTTTGCTGACCACGGGTGACCAGGTATTATGTGCACTGATAACGATAGTGAGTTCTGCGATGACGTAATGGAATCGCTAGTACTCGTATCAGGCATATGCCACAAGAGAGGTGTACCATATAAGCCGCAAACGCAAGGCGTGAATAAAACGCGCCATAGAAGACTTAAGTTCTTCTTGCGTACTGCATTAGCGGATGATGCAGATGATTGGCCGTACCACCTTAAGTGGGTACAAACACAGATGAACGAGTGTGCTGATCCGGTTACAGGAACTACACCCGCTCACTGTTTTCGTGGCAGATATAGTGAGTTACAAATCCCCTTTAACAAGGACGAGCCTGATCACCATGAGTTACCATGGTTAGAGAAGGTACAACGTATTTATAACGTTGTATATCCTTGCTTGCGAGAAATAAACAATACAGCCTTAATAAAAAGGCAAAAGCGTTGGAACACTACCAAGAAGATAGCAGAGTATCAGGTCGGTGACAGAGTTAATATCTGTCAACGTAATTCCGATGCTACTGTATTAACATCTAAATGGATAGGTCCATATACAATCTCTGTAGCAGACACTAAAAGTGGAACATACGAGGTAAATAACCCCGATGGTTCTAGGGCGCTTAATATAGGCACAAGTCGTATTCCGACTACAGAGATTATACTCGCAAGAAGACATAACTTGCCACTTATCAAGAATTACCGACTTAGCCTTCATCAGACTGGCACATCTGGTTGGCTGATCGGAGGATCAACTAGGTAACGTTTATAGTCCCTAGAAGCCTATATTCGGTCGAGCCATCTCGCTACCGAAGTATTCAGATATAAATAAAGTTGGAAAATAAAGATAGTTCTATTAATAGAACTAGATCAACTCTTATGTTTGGTATTTTACTGGGGCCTTTTAATGGCCTCGTCCAAATATCTGATATGTAAAATGGAAAGGTATTAAATAATAAAACTATTAAAAACTATTTAGGAAACTTAAGTTCCTCGTACTATTAAGAGTACGGTTATAATTTATGTACTGTTTAAGAGTACGTTTATAACACAGAGACTAATGTGGAGGCCCGGCCATTACAAAATGGGGTTCGGCAAAACGCAGTCCTTATTACCTCCTCGGGCTGTTTCGGGTGGTAAGAAGGAGAGTTAGTTTCTTGATTTTGAACAGGGTTTTCGTGATCGTGAACCTGTTTTGAACCGGGATTTTGAAATCCTGGATGCGGATGATGTGGTTCCTTCACCGTCGGCTGAACATGAGAATGCTAGTATTCTTATTAAACCGCGAGAACATGTCCTGGCGGATACCCGTATGTTAGATAGTTTGGAACAGTATGCCTTAGATCTTGGGCAGTTGTGTGAGGACCTGCCCCCTATCTCGCCGCGGGTGGATTTACAAGAGGTCCCTTTAGGGACGGGGGATCTGGTTTATGGTGCTAGTTTGGACCCGGATGTGGTCCAGGACATGTCGGATGTGACTCCTCGTTTGCATGTTCGTCCAGTTGTGCAATCCACACAGATTGAGTATGTGATTAGTCACCACCCGTCGACGGACAACCCGTTGTATACACATCGTCCAGGTAAGGGTGTTCAGGAGCAGGTGGTAAGTAATGTGCTTCCTACGATTGTGGATTTGGATACGGGTTTGGCACGTATAGAACGTTTTAATTTAACATCTGCAGGTCAGTTAGTCTCGGCCCAGACGGGTTTACAGGTTGTATGGATCTATCACTGTGGATATAGTCATTTGTTGGCGGATCGGCTCCGCATGCTCCTTCAAACCAAATGTGGCTAGAATAAACCAAGGACATTGACACCCTCGACCATTATAGCCGCAAATGAAGAATGTATTCAAGTGATAACCACAACTGCTTGGGCGTAAGATGGGCCTTTTTCAGCAACCGAAACGTGCTTCGGATATCGAACAGCAAGCTGATACGGTCCTTCTGGTTTTATCAGAGGACCAGTATGGTTTCAGGTATGTTCTTGCAGCGTAGGATGGTTTTTCGTTGCGTGCTTTTACTTCGTGTTTACGGCATGATGAGTTGACAACGGCTCGGGTGATACAATTTTGTGAAGAACATTTGCGCCCACATGCAGCTGTTGGTGAATATGTGATGGATGAGCAAAGTGCTCCTATTAGTGATAAATTTGCAGCATACGCAGTTAGTACGGGTAGTCGTATATATACAGTATCAGTGGGTGAACATGCAGGTAATGGGCGTATTGAAGTGTTTTTTTTTTTAGAACTATGCAGAATGATTGAAACGATCATTAGGTGCCGGGTTGCACCATAACTGGAGACATGAAGTACCTATCTTTACTGCTAATTATAATGCATCGCATTCTACGGTTATTGATATGGCTCCTTATACTCTTGATACGGGCCGGGTATATCCTCATCCGGTGGACCAGGAAGTTGAGCGTCTGTTGGATGCCGATGTTGGGGCGGTTGATCCTACGGTTCTTATTGGCCAGTTGCCTACTCAACGGGAGCAGGAAGCGGCGGAGCATATTGCGTATGCACGTCGGGCCCAAAAGCGCTCGGCGGATATCAACCGGGTCGATTGTCCAATATTTGCGATTGGTCGACAGGTGTTGTACACGCCTTTGGCAGACCAACACATCACATAAGTTAGAGATGGATGATGGTCCAGCGGTTGTTACTGCTTTGATGCTACCGCTTGTTCATTATTTACTTGATACTGGTTTGAACAAGGAATATCGGGTCCATGTCAAGAAACTCAAGGCTTATGTTCCACCCTTTGGACAGGAGGAGAAGATCCCTCGAGGTAATGTTTCTAAATCGGCTTTTGGGGATTATATGTTTTATGAATCCCCATATGCAGGTTTTATCGTCACGGGAACGCTAGGAGTTGGTTCACGCTTACCGTACCCATAAACCGGCCATCCGATTCCAGTATAGTCTCAATGGGACATACAGAAAATGTATTCGGGTTACCAACGCTCACCAGGATGTGCGCACGCATGAGTGGATGAGGAAGTGTTCAACATTTTGCAATGTAGAAATACGGCCTCCGGTCAATCTAAAATATTAAGATCAAATGAGCTAACACATTGGTTTTTATTTGTATTTGAAATAATTTAATACAAGTTCTTTTTCCAAAATTATCAAAGTGTTCTAAATTCACTTTGATGGCTCCAATAGCCTGAGTGTTTGGTATGACTCATTTACGTGGACCTATTTGAGACGATAGAAGATGTAGGATATTATAAACCAAATTTTATAATCTCTGAACTACTACTTACAGGTTTTGGTCTTCCCGCCAATCTCCAAAATCCAATAAGTCATTTTCTTTTTTTTAATAACTTTTCTTCAGATGGAATTTTATTTATATTAGCCGATGTATTAACTTGACTTACGTTTTTATGTCTATCTAAAAATTAGACATGTGGTCATGTACACTTAGTACTTCTAGTGAAAATTATTCAATAAAGAACGGCTAGAGGTACGTCCTGTGTGATTGAGGATATTAAGGCTCTTACCAAGTGGCAGTCACGATCATTCTTACACAAGCTAGGTTGAAGCACACGGGAGCTCAGTTGTCAGCGCAGTCGTTAGATAGAGAGTATTGTCCCGGGGATTAGTCGCGAATAGCCGCGTTGGCGAGTAGTTAGGTTTGCGATGGAATTAGTTAGGTTTGCTGTGATGAGCTGTGGTTTAGTGTTGTTCACTGGAGTGGTGAACTAAGTCCTGTTAGTTATTCCCACGCCTTGAAAGTCGTAGGACTTGGGGGTGGGGAGGGGGGTCGTAGTAGGGCGGACCTTAGTTGGATGTCCATCCGCATTGGGGATGGACGATGTATGATCGGCCCTGCCCTGTAGGACCATGACCGAACTGAGGTTTTTAGGTTGGACCCAACCACCACATGGGTGGGGTTGGATAGTTATATTGTAATAGTGGTTCAGGACAGATATATTAGATATAAATAGACATAGAAGTGCGACTGTCTTTGGAACTAGATCTCCGGGATACTACGTGTCTCGAGACAGTCGCTTAATTCCTGAGTAATAATGCTGACCACTACTACAGAGTGATGAAATTTCTACGCCTTTTTCAATGTTTTTTTATGTATTCTGTTTTCTTCTTCTTCTTCCTCGTCTATTTTTTTGTTTTTATAACAGTGTTTTTTTATAGCAAAACAAAATATAAAAATAAAAATGTGGTGTTTTATTCTAAAGAGGCTATGTTTGTTGCCCCCTTTTTTTGTTTGTTTGTTTTTATTTGATTGGTTTTGTAAAAAAACAAAAACAAAAAAAAACTGACGAGATAGACAAATTTATTTGTCCCTTGACCCTGGGGCCTGGGCCCTGTGGTCTGGGACCCAGGGACCCTGGCCGGCATGGCGGTCTGGCGGCCTGACTTGTCGTGGGTATATACTTCTTTTTAATGAAAAAAAAACAAAGTTCTTGTGGCCTCTCGGTGCACAGGAGTCAGGGCCTCGGGCTGTAAATAGCAGTGTAAATAGCTCTGTAGCGGTAGTGTAGCCCCCTGTACGCCCTGTAGGGCGGTGCAAATAGTAAATACATGTAATCTTGGTCGACTCAAAACACAATGTAACGGTGAACCTAGTTTTATTTCCTTGATAATTGAATAAACGTCTACCTTCTTGAATGAACTTCTTGAATGAACTAAACCACGTATTTATACTATCTCCGAAGGATTCCCTTAAGAATCCTGCCGCCAATCAAATCGTGTATCTACTCTATTTCGAGCCTACAAGTCCATTCAACATACATCGTCATCTGCCAACCTCCAGCTCATATTATCCCGCACTTCGGTTCACAAAGCACCAATCATACATGAACCTCCTATTCTTTCGAGCCTGCGCGGCCGTTCGCCAACAAACCGCACAATCTAACTTAGAACTTTTCAAACTTATTAGTTTTCACACTTATAAGTTATCGCGCACACTTAGAAGTTCTCACACTCTTATTAACGCCCAGGGACATTACCGAACAGTTCGGTACTTACAACACCAACATTATTTTAAATCGGAGGTAAACATGGTTGACATTACACCTCCCCAATGAACAAGACATTAATGTCGAGATCATTCATTCAACCATTTACTCAACTGCTTCTTTCACAAAATTGGATCCCTCGCAAACTGGAAGAACATCTGCAACTTGTTCCACCTTTTCTTATTGAAGTGATGCTTCATAGCCTAATCCAAAGTATCTTCTACCACGCCCTTACTCTCACCTCGCTTCGCCGCATCGAATATCGTATTTATATATATACTAAAAGCTGAATTCATGGCATATAACCAAGTCCTCCCCATCTTTGTTGATCGCATTACTGCCACCATTTCATCAAGTTCTGTAACACTAGCTTCCCCTTCACCAGTATAATTGTAGAGCCAGATCAAACAAGCTTCCCTCCTACGCATTCTAATACTGGCCTCATGCTTCGGATCCTCTAACCTCACCTTAATCTGATCCACATGTATTAACTTAACCTTCCCATTAATTATGACCTTGTACATCCCTTGTAAGTGCTCCCTCATAACAATCGTGCCTCTCACTAAATAAGTTTTTGCCAACGTACTATTCTTTGACCTACCAGTATACCAAACCAACTGCCCCGGCTGCCAATTTGGTGCCTCTTTTCTATTCTTGTCTGCCGTCTTTGCCTGCGCCTCCTTCACCACTTCATCTATCCCTCACAGCAGCTTCACTCAGAAGCTCAGAACCTATCATCTTTAACAACTTCGCTTGAATTACTCTATCAACCTGCCCCGTATAATGCCGGCCCGTAACATGATAGTATGGGCTGATACCCGTGGCCGAATTCACTGCCGCATTGTACGCCAACATAACTGGATATATATATGCTGGCCATAAGGTTTCCTCCCCAACCGGAAAGCTCTTAGCAAGCCAATCCACAATCGTACGCAAGACCCTCTCTGCCCTACCATTGCGTAATGATATTCTGCACCTCTCTCTGCCCAGAAACGTTTCATATCTGCTGAAGCAAACGGACCACCCTCATCCATCACTACCTTCTTAGGTGTACCCCAAGGCAGCACTTGATATTGAACAAACTCTTATACCCCCTTTGGTATTCTTCTCCTCCAACGTGTATGGCCGACACCACACCATCCTCGAAAAATGATCTATAGCCACAACTATACCTTCGAAACCATGAACTGTCCTTGGCAAGGTCAAATGATCCATACCTATACACACTGCAACCCCTTTCGGCCTCTCAGGCTGCACTAACAACCCTGTAGTCCCACGAAGCCCCTCAACTTGTTGACACGCAACACAACTCTTCAAAACCTTCACAACCTACGAACGCAACACTTCATCTCCATACTTAACCTTCAGAAACTCCCATATCCTATCTGCCCCAGCATGCGCTAAAGTCTAATGTACCAGCGTAATATCGTACTCTTGCAAAGGCTGAACAAGTTCTGAACATACACTTATACCAATACACTTAAGCTGTTCGCTAGCCATTACATCCGGTTCCCACATCTTAGTAATACCTCTCTCCATCACTGCAGTAACCTGCTGATGCAATAAACCCACACGAGCCTTGAAGTCGGCACTGACCTTCTCATCAAGACTCTCCTCTAACACTCGCAGCTTCTCTTTAACCACCGCCAGCCGGACCCTCCTGTCTTCCACACTCTTGCAGACTTTATCAAATGATAAATCAACACCTTCATCAATCTCTGGCAGACCCATTTTTGCACATGCAGCGAACTTAACACCCTCTACCGACACAGGCACCATAATAGGATCAAACCACCACGGTATACGACTAATTCCATCCGCAACTTTGTTTTTTTGGTCCTTCCAGGTACCGTAGATCCATATTAAACGATCGTACATACAGAACATTCCTGTACCGTCTCTTAGCCACTGGATCCGACATGAACTCTACCTGCTGAACAACACTAATTAAAGGCTGATGATCCATCTCTACTATAAGCATCTCGTACGATCTCCTAATCAAACCCGCGAACTTCAAAAACCCATATGCTAGCGCTATCAATTCTCTATCTGTCAGAGACAAATTAGCATGGAAATCTATCTTGGAACTCACAAAGCCCACAGGAAGCCATTCTCCATCTCTTCTCACACATAAACAAGCACCTATACCCGAATCCGACGCATCTGTCTGCAACCTAAGTTGCTCCTCTCGTCTGGGTTCTACCAAGACTGTCTTCGCCTGAAAAATCTTCCGAGCCGACTGAAAAGCCTTCTCCTGTTCAGGATCCCACTGGAACCGTACCTTCTTCTTAGTCAAATCACTAATCGGAGCCAATACATTTGAGAAATTCGGAACGTATCTCGCCCACCATCCAAAACACTGATACCACGACCTGACTTCGGCCTTGGTTTTGGGCCTGGGCATATCTAATAACGCCTGAAGTTTTACTTCACTTATCATCGAACCCTTATCTGTAACTTCTCGACCCATCACGACTACAGGATCTTCTCGATATGCGAAATTACATTTTGACAGCCGCAACTGTTTCCCTTTTGCTTCAAAGCGCCTGATCATCTCCACAATACCATCCCAATGCTCAGCTGGATCATCCGAACCTAACGCGGTATCATCAATGTACGTCTTAATTCCTTTAATTCTTCCAATGTCTCATCCATTAATTGTTGGAACACAAATGATGCTTCCTTCAAACCAAACGGCATCCCAATAAATTGGAATCTCTCTCCCCAGGTCGTCAAAAATGCAGGAACCCCTCGACTACCAGGCTCTATCATTAACTGCCCCAAACCATTTCCAGCATCCGCATTAGTTCTCCACTTGCGTCCCTTAACTGTTGCCAGAAATTGTTCTTCTGTTGGTATCGGATATGTACCCGAATTTAGCTGGTAATTCGTACGCATAAAATTTATGCACATCTTCCAATCCTTGGGTTCATCATAACTGGGATTACTACCCGGCACTTTAGATACAAGTTTCGGCACTGTAAGCCAATCCGTATCTTGCACCCTCTCTATCAACCCAGCTTCAAGCAATAGTTGCACCTTCTTCGTCATCACTTCTATAAGTCGCACATCCTTCTCCGCATATACTTGTCTCAAAGGCGCCCCTCCTTCTTTGATCTGAAGCTTAAGCATCCGATCCTTCACAAACTTCGGTTTCTTGTCATTGTACGCCACCCTCCTAATAGCCGCCACCCTCCTAATAGCCGCCACCCTCCTAATAGCCGCCACCCTCCTAATAGCCGCCACCCTCCTAATAGCCGCCACCCTCCTAATAGCCGCCACCAACTCTGCCAATTCTTCTATATACTTCCCCAGTTCTTCAGCCAACAGTTCCAAGTAACTCGTATCGAACATTAGATAATCATCCTCACCCCCGGATCCATCACTTTCATAACCTGAATCATAACCCCCATCATCTTGCATATTATCAAATGGTGTTACCTGTTCTGCTCGCTGATATAATAACGGCGCCGCTACATGCTGAATATAATCTAACACCGGCTCAGATGCCTCTTTGTTCAGCCAGGTCTTAAAGTCTGATGGCTTCTCTCTTACCACCTCAACCAGAAACAGTGTATACTTAGTCACCCCTTGCCTAGTGAGTACTGTCCCAGTTAATCCATACCCATTCAATTCACGTCTACCTAACAACATACCCGCATTGTGTGGAATCCAATCCATAACCTACATATCCAACTTAACCCTCCTTCCTTAGGCAAAACAACCTCAACATCTCGCACCTTGTATTTCACATAAAGTGGAGCACCAAATCCCGTAACCCACTCTCCATACAAATCATACTGAGCAACCAGCCCCAGACTCTCTGCCAAACCCTTAGAAATCATAGACATATCGGCGCCTTGATCAACAAACATATCAACATAACACTGTTCACTCTCCACATAACTATAGATCAACGGTTGGCCTGGTCCTTTATAACTAGCCGCCACCGCATGTCACAATTCAGGTGTCCCATTTGCACTCATACGCACCTCCCCAGACGCTGCTGCCGATACATTACCCCCGGATCGTGTTGTAGGACAGAATCTCGCAGTATGACCTCTTTTGGTACACGTATGACATACCACGTCTTTCAACACGGGACACTCTTTCACATAGTGACCATCCTGCTTGCAAAACAAGCATGCCCCTCTCAGACCTGTCATCGCTGAAACCCTGGACTCATGTCTAGCTGCAGCTGCTTGCAACTGTCCTGCTCTCGCAGCTACCCTCGCCTGATGTCTCCGGCCCGCTTGTTCCCCCTCTTCTTGACGCGCTAACCCTCCTGCCTCAAACATTCTCAGAACCATGTTCTTCTCCGATTTGCGACTCGCAAATAAGGCTTTCAACCTTAAACATCGCTCAGTCAATCCTTTTAAACCCTCCATCACTACGTCCTTAGAGCTCACATCATTTGCCAATTTAAGTAGCATATCCACATAGTCATCATCCCTCAGCATAGGAACCATCCAGCGTGCCCCATGCTGATTCGCGCTCTTAGCATTCCTACAAATCACCTTGCACAAAGCATCATACTCACGCCGTTTCTGCCTAGCCTCTATATTCAACTTAGCTGCTGCCCTTGGTTTGTCTGATACATCAGCCTTCTTCCCTACTGTAGCAACCTTCACTGCAGGCACTCCTTTCTTCTTCTTAGCATCCTCGTCCTCACTGTCACTACTTTCGCTATTATCCCTGCTATCACTGACCGTAGCGACTTCCTCCTCAGTCTCATTTTCGCTCTATTCGTCCTCAGAAGGCACCCCAGTAAATGGATCCCGTTCTGGGAGCACTTTCTTTGCTTCAGCCTTCGCCGCAACATGCCGAGCACCATAGTAATAAATCGCACGAAGATGCTCAATAACCTTTTCAGGATTAGATCCCCACCCTCCTATTGACTTGGCAAAATCCGCCAGGGTTCCACTCACTTCAAATGGGTCCTTAAACGCTGGATACAAAGCTGCAGCCGCGATGTACAGATCCTTCGACTCAATAACAGTCTGCTAATATAGCCCTCCAGTTCCGATTTCGTCTCCGGTGTAACCTCCTTTTAAAGTGCCATCGCTGGGCGGGACCCTCCTTTCTTCGCCTCGAGCTCATAAGCCTTGGTACCCCTGACGTAATCCTATAAGTGTCGTCATCGGCTCCCCTCTCACATATCTTCAGAGAGGTTGCCCAGTCCCAGCTGCATTATCCTTTTCGTAAATCATTTTCTACTATCGTTTATTTGTAATATTGATCGACTCAAAACACAATGTAACGGTGAATTTAGTTTTATTTCCTTGGTAGTTGAATAAACGTCTACCTTAGCAGAATGAACTTCTTGAATGAACTAAACCACGTATTTGTACTATCTCCGAAAGATTCCCTTGAGAATCCTGCCGCCAATCAAATCGTGTATCTACTCTATTTCGAGCCTACAAGTCCATTCGACATACATCGTCATCTGCCAACCTCCAGCTCATATTACCCCGCACTTCGGTTCACAAAGCACCAATCATACATGAACCTCCTATTCTTTCGAGCCTGCGCGGCCGTTCGCCAACAAACCGCACAATCTAACTTAGAACTTTTCAAACTTATTAGTTTTCACACTTATAAGTTATCGCGCACACTTAGAAGTTCTCCCACTCTTATTAACGCCCAGGAACATTACCGAACAGTTCGGTACTTACAACACCAACATTATTTTAAATCGGAGGTAAACATGGTTGACATTACATACATAGTTGTTAGGGTGTTATATAGTTTTTAAGGTGTCGCTATTATAAAAATAGAGTCGGTGCCGGGTGCCACTGTTGTCTGATGTCTCACTGGTCTGTGGGCATTGGGCACCGGCCGCTAAGCTCATTACGTTATGGGGCCCTGGGGGCACGGGTAAACGCGTATTATTGACACTTAGATGTTTAGACCCGCAAGCACCTGTGAGCAAACAAGGACCGTATATGGAATAAAAGTTGAGCGTAAACGTATATTTATTCGAAATATAAAAGTTTTAACGGAAAACGGCTTGAGGTTAGGCTGCCTGGGGGTGACCGGGCTGAGAAAAAACTGAAGCCTAAAGAATAAAGAGTAAAGTCCTGAACCTGAAATGTACATAAACAATAGAAAACAGCAAATACTACCATATTTGGATTCCAGTTACCCGACAAAAGTTGTTTACCTCACCGCATCATGACATTTTCACTCTCCAAAAGGCAAAATAATTGGGGGAGGGACTACTCTCTCTCTCTCTACTTCTAAATTGAGAGTAGAGAGTAGAGTCGGTACTCAGTAGTGAGTAGAGTGTAGACTAAGTAGAGAGAGAGAGAGGAGAAAGTCACAAAGCAAACAGAGAGTGCCAGTCAGCCAGCAGCAGGAGTCCAGAGAGAGTCTTTCTCGCGAGAGAGGAGAGACTGAGTACTCAGTACATAGAGCGGCCAAGTGTAAATCGCGAAAGCCGATCCGACATTGAGAGTTTTGTGGAAACTTTATTGTTCTTGAAATATGACTATGTGTTATGACTATATGCACATGATGATGATTCAAGATGGGCGATGCACAAGTTGGCAGTCGGCAGTTGGCACATATATATATACATAGTCATAAATATATTATAGTATTAAATTATATATACAATCTATACACATATATGATACACATGATCGTGATTTAGACACAAATACAAACTCGCCACATTAAAAAATCGAATTGAAAGTGATTTAGCACTATGTCGGACCCTTTCGCCCAATTCAATCCCTTGCCTCAGAAGCAAACGACATCAGAAACAGTTCCACAACAGCAGTCGCAGCAACAGTCGCAACCCACACCTATGCAGGGTCATAGTTCTGCGCAGAATATTACGATGCACGGAAACTCGTTTCAGCAGACAAATGCACTTCCTCAGTTTAATTCATATCAGCAAGGACTGCCTGTAATAGGTGACACAAGTGGACCAGGATCGCAACAATCAATGAATCCGAATTTGGGCGTTTACACCCCACAACAGGTTATGTACAATGCTCAGCCGCCGCAAATGGGTGGACTGATGCCTGTGCAGCCCATGAGTCGACCCCGTTTCAATACATATAGTGTTGCACCCGGCACGCAGCAGGGGCCTCCGACAATTTCATTCCAAAATATGTCGTTAACACCTCAAATGAATCAGCAGCAGCCGAATTATGACGAACCGCAGGTATCTCAACCGATGAGGTTCAGATCGCATGCTGTGAGTGTCAGCGACACGAATGATGAAAACTCTGTGAGCGCACCTTTTACATTCGCCCAGCCTGTGGTGGAAACAAAGGATAGTTTAGATCCTTTCGATATGTTTGATCCTGTACCTCGTGCGCGTGGTAAAACTGTCGGGGCGAGCTCGGCTTATGTTCCACCGGAACACTCGTTCGGTCAACCGCAGCAGAACAATCAGGGAAAGCCTCAATCCGGTACAGTAGATCCTTTCGATCTGTTTTTGGCTGTGAATGCCGAGTCTCGGTCGCAGACCAAAGATGTACCACTGGAGTCTAACGCCAAGGACGTTGCCTTAGAGGTGAAGCCGGATATCAAGGTCGAATCTGAACCCGACAACAATGACAAGAGTGAGAAGTCAGAATTAAAGGAAGCTACTAACACAGAGGAAACTAAAGGCGAGATGGATGTGAAGGTGCTGAGGAAAAAACTTTTCTTCTACCCGGGTCATAGAGGATATATCGTTGAGGGCATCAAACACAGGAGGGCGCTGGGAGGCAAGTATTCGGTAAAGCCTCTGCGCGCGGCCGCAATTAAAATAAGTGCTGATAAAGATGGTGTTATCATCATGTCGCAGGAGGGAAAAAGCATCCTACACCGCTTCGCGTGGGAAAAAATCAAAGAGTTGCATCACGTACACACAGATAAGATCGATACTCCGCTCAACAAGCGAACGCGTAAAAACTTCATCGCATTGCAATTGATAGACGGATCCGTCTTTGTGATAAATTCCAAGCAGACACCCGAGATTCGCGCTTTGTTCGACGAGGCCAACCCTAAAATGCCGAAAGATAAGGCGACATAGTGTTAGTGTAGTGTTCGTCGTGCAGTGCGTTTTTAGCACTCGAGTCAATGGTTATGTCGAGTGAGACCAAATACCATCAGAGTGTGCTATCAGTGTGTGTACTCTTTTTGTAGTGGTAATAAATAATACGGATGATGTTACATAAATATTTTACAGCATGAGACTACGAAGTACTCGAGAAAAACAGACTCCATAAGCACAAAAAGCATTTGAAACATTCTGCCAAATCTCTGAATAGGCATACGATAACTTGGCACTTCCTGATACGAGGGATATTACCAAGGTGTTGTCTTGTCACCCATTAGATTGCTATCAATAAGGTAAACACATCACTTAGAGTTTCATCAATCACGACAGTGTCCACCTCGTCGAACGAAGTCTCTCTGGACGCAAAATTCGGTTTTATTTATATATCTGCAGCCATCGACATCGATATGATTGTCGATTCCGTTCCTTTAGTCGCCAACACTGAAGTCAATGATATTGCAACGGTGTGGCTTTCCATCGTGCTTGCTGTTACTAACTTGCTTCATCCATAGCCCTAGGTGTCGACTGTGTATTCTGGAGTGATAATCAAATCAGCCGTCAGCTCTTGTAGCTCAGCCTCACTGTAGATGATATCTTTGTATACAGTACCATCCTCCAGATCCTCTATTTCTAACCAAATCGCTCGGTCTGGGTATCTAATGCTAAGATTATCCTCGAAGATTGTTGAATCATCTATAACTAGCTTCCCAGCAAAAGAACTAATACAATCTATAATCGATGCGCCTTTAGCGCACGTATTGTTGTAGTACTCGCCAGACACAGTCATAGTACCAGTACTGAATATACGATTGAGAGCTATGAGAGCCCTGTCGCCATCTGCCACGTTATTCTGATACTTCCCATCGATGCTTACATTCCCTTTAATGAACTCGATGCGCAGTGCTGAGCCCCGCGAACCCCTGAAACGAGATAAGTGCGGATAAGTGAAAGAAACAGTTGCGAAGCCAATCATTTCTCAGCTTAGCATTGACGTTTAAATTTCAATAGGCACGAACAATGTTTGCACACAGAGTACGGCTCACGAGTTTGGTACATGTTGATATGATTGGCGCATGAACATACTTGTAGACGGACATAATCTACAAATATACAAAATCAGGATTCACATCAATATGTACACAAACAGGAACAAATATGTATGATCCTTATTCGACTTCATGATAGAATAAAAGACAACGTATAGCAACTACCATCAATAAATAATTGCATATGAATATGCGTGAATAAATAAATTGAGAAATGTGGATTTCGTAGGTGTAGATATGTGTAAAGGTGAGCAATCGTTCCTTGTTTCAATGCAAATAACACCCATGGTTAACAGAGTATGCAAACGAATATCCAAGTAAACAATACACACAAAACAGTAGTTTAAACAGATACGCAAATATCAGTTCCTAACAAGTCCAGATACAAAGAGATAGAATTGGATTCTAAGGTGAGCTCGCGAAGCAAACAGAAACTATGAGACTTAAAACATTACTTTCAGGAATAGAAAACAGAAAATGATTCATAAATATTCGTACATACACATGTAGTGAAATTGGAATAAATATGCGTGCATTGATATATATAGATAGATATATATACATATATATATATATATATATATATAGATAGATAGATATAGATATATATATAGATATATACATATATATATATACATACATATATATATATATATTATATACATATATATATGTATATTTATATACATACACACACACACACACACATATATATATATACAAACACAGACACAGACATATATATACGATATATAAATATGTATATAATTATATACGCATATAGGAATAAAAATATATACGCATATACACATATACGCATATCGCATACATGTATATATATGTATATATATATATATAAGCATATAACAAAATAACAATATATAACAATATACAACAGATTTGCATCAATATGAATATATATGTATATTTATATCAATATAAATATTAATGTTAATGCACAAACACACAAAAACATACATACATACATACATATATATATATATATAACATATATATATATATATATATATCAATATGTATGTTTTTATATATATAAATTAATATAACATACATACATACATACGCCCACACATACACACACCATATATATATATATATATATGTATATAGTATTAAAAAAATAATGATAAATTAGCAGTGATTATAAATTTGTGTTTCTATAAATATACACCCACCAACAGACATACACAAATATGTGTACGTACACACACACATATATATAAATATATATATACATATCTAAATGTGTACACGCACGCACATGAATAAATATACGCATGAATATGTATATATGAATGAG